CGCCAACGAAAGCAGGGCTTGTTTCCGACGTGATGACTCGGTCCCGTGTGGTGCCGTATCGGCGGCTTGAGCGTAAGACATGCCCATGGCAGGGAAGATCTCAGGCTGCTGCCGACATGTCGTGCCTAGCATGTCGCCTTCCAGAAACATAGATGGGAACACTGTGTCTCCCATGTTGACAAAGTCGTAGTCGTTGAACATGGGAGCAGTCTCATCTGTGTCCTTCCCGCTGCTACCACTGGACAATGGGCCACTGGACAACGGGCCACTGGACGACGAGCTGCTTGCCAACATGGTGGCCAGCGGCGCCTGAGGCGACACAGACAGCTCTCCGTCCAGGCTCGAATAGGACTCCGCACCGTCGCTCGAGCTGCCCGAGAGACAGGTAAAGTAGGACGACGGGGGGGATCCAACTGCCGTGACGACCAAGTCAGCCGCGTTGGCTGCGTCGCCCGCGTCAGTCGAACCGGTCAAGTCAGCCGAAGCGGCCACCGCAGGCGGGCTGCTAGGTGCTGGCGTTATGGCGTGCCTGGCTGCGACCGTCTCAAAGTTGTCGGGCCCCAAGATGGTCTTTTGCGGGACAGGAGACGCCGTCAAGCTTCGGATGAGACCATGCTGAGACTCGTAGGCCTCCAGGTGGCCATCGTGGCCGATTACCAGCACGGCCACTTTGGCTTTGTAGTAGCGGTAGAAGGTGTCCGACTTTTTGAAGATGCCGGTCTTTCGGTTTTCGAACCCTTTGCGAAAGTCTTTGTTGCTCTTCCCGCGCGTCATGGTGGAAGAACTGGCCTCGTACGGAGACAATCCACCGGGGTGACGCTCAGTGGTGGACAATCAATAACAGAACCCGGCTTGAAAGAACCCTGATTGCTGCGAGCCGCTTCTGCGTTTTGGTTTCTTTGGACTTTTGCCTTTGGCCTTTTCCCTTGTGACACAGGGACGAAGGGAACGAGGGAGGGTCGTTGAATTTATGCCGCCTGCGGTAATCCCGTCGGCAGCATTGCAAGTGTTCAGGGGGCCTACGCTGTGTGGTTCTATTTTCGTGGAGCCTCCTCGACTTGGGGCGACTGTATAGGCCCGGCGTCTAGAAAGCAACGCCGTCGCACGGCCCGGTTGGTGTTCAGGTCCGGCCTCCGTCTTTTGCAATCTCACATCCAGCCGCCGAAGCAGGTCCGCCGAAACAGGCGAGTGGGGCTACGGGCGCGGCAACACGGCGTTTCGCATGGGGGACCGGCGCACGGGACTGGTCAGGCGGACGTCCAGGCCACCGCCCGTCGTTGCCGCCCGTTTATTTTGAGCAGGCGCTGGTAGCCTCCAATCTTGATGCCATTTTCGACATTATAGGTAACGGCCAGCGCTTGCGATCGGCGCTTATCCATCGGAACGGCGTACGCGCCATGTCACAGAGGGCGCCTGGGTGAGCCGTCTTGGATCTCATCTTGACATCAATTGCGGGTTTGATCCGTGCTGTCACGGGCCCTGGCGTCGCTTCAATTGCTTTGTCAACTTTGGCATCTCTCCCACCTAGCACACCACCAAGCACGCATCAAGCGCCCCATAGGCTCTGATGTAGCCCCTTAAACCTGGATCATGCCCGGGCGGCGACCAGGCATCATTCGGGCGTTCCTCAATCTGCCCATCTGCCCGTGTGCCCTTTGCCACTTCCGCTCCTCGCCCCTACAACACTGCCGACTGCGACAATGGAGGCTTTGCACTACTACATGCTCTCTTTCTACATCCTCATAGTTGCACACCTCGTAGCCCGCCCTCTGCGGCAGGCCTTTTCCTACGTACGCGTGCTTTACGCCCAGCATCTGGCCTATCCATTGCTCGTCCGCCGGCAGCACTGGACGGGCGCCACCCGATGGGAGGCTCTGGCCGTCCTCTCGTACGCTGGCGTAAACATCGCCCTTCTGCTATACCCTTTCAGTGCCCTGCCCACGCTGAGAGAGGTGGAGAGACGAGCAGGCGTGGCTGCATTCGTCAATCTGGTCCCCCTCTCCATCGTCATTCGAACGAACGTTCTCACCTCCCTGTGCAACGTACCTCTCGGTACCGTCAACCTCGTTCATCACTGGATCGGCAGGGTCGCCATCGCCCAAGCGTTGATCCACGCTTTCATGGTCCTGGCTCTGCGGCCGAGGCCTGGTGCCGTTGTCGCGTCGGGATACATCGTAAGTGGCACTTGTCGCTCGCCGAAAGGCGCTGTACAGAGTAAAGACTAAGATCTTGCCAGGGACTCAGCACGCTGATGCTCATTCTGCCGTTGTCTGTGAGTGTAGCACGTCGGCGTCTTGGCCGCTACTTCTTCGTCACCCACCTCGTCCTGGCAGTCTCGGCATTGGCCGGCCTGGTATGGCATGCTTACCTTCTGCCCGTGCTCGTAAGCCGTGCGCTCATTACGGTGGGATGTTCTTGCTGGATTGTTGCGGCTTGCGTTCGCGCCGTCTGGTGGTATCGACAGGTCACCGTCCGCGTGCTCCGACTGGAACTCGATGACGACGCCGCCCTCGTGACCGTGCACGCGGACGCGCCCATCCGGGCCTCGGCCGACGATCATTTCAATATCTACTTTCCGGCCTCTTTCCCACGCTCGCTCGTGCCGGGCGTCCATGGCCACGCGATGAAGCCCTTGTGGTTCAAGCCCGGCGATCTGGCCTCGCCGGACGGGGTGCGCACCATGTCGTTCCTCATGGCGCGCGACGGCACACTCGCGAGCCAGCTCGAGAGACTGGTGGAAGGCGCTGCGCTGAAGCTGGGCGGCCCCCTACGGACAGAAGTCGGACTTTCGCCAGTACGAGGACGTCATGCTGGTGGCCAAAGGCGCGGGCATTTCCGGAGTGCTGCCTTATGCGCTGCAGCTCGCCGAGCGACGGAAGAGCACATCCAGCGCCTGCAGCAGGAAGAGACCGAGCTCGTGTTGAGCGCGTCGAGCGCGGCGGGGGAGCACCGACAAAGCTTCCAACGTCGACTGGACGCGGTTCGCAAGGAGCGAACATCTCTGTCGCGTGTGCTCTTCCATGACAAAACGCAACGAGTCGACCTGTTGTGGATGCTGGAAAACGAGAAGCAGGAAAGATGGACAGCCGACTTCTTCTCTGCATTGCAGCGTCTGGACCCAAGTAACGTAAGTCTGTCCTTCTTCCCGTGGGTGGCTGCTATGACGTGAAGATGCGGTGCTGCTGTCAATTGTCGTACTGACGCCGCCTCGTTCCAGAGATTGCTTGTGGTGTGGTGTCTCTATCCCGGCCCCCGCACCTCCAGGCTCCGACCGTTCCCGCCTTCTGATCACTGGAAGTGCACCTCTGCCGCGCCGGGCGGGGCAGACGTCATGGAGATGATGACGAACAGAATTCGAGAGAAGAGTACACGGACGCGAGGCGAAATGATTGTCATCAGTACGTGACCGTTCTTTCCTGCCGTCGTGCCTGCTGGGTGCTTCGGAGACTAATCCTGTTGGCATGGTTCAGATTGCGGAGACCCAGATTTTACCATGCGCATGCGTGCTGGTGTCATTGCGGCCATGGGCGGCCGCACGTTCATCGAGTTTGTTGAGTCCGAGTATCAGCCGAGGTCGCATCGACCGATTGATGCCGTCGTTGCGGGTCAGGCCGGCGGAAGGGGTGCTGGCAAGAGGGTGTGGGGCGGCAAGAGAAACGCGGCGTCGAGGCCAGTGACGAGAAAACGGCTACATGAAGCTGCCTAGAATAGATTTTTCAATGCTGAATCGTAGCCACGAGCCTTGCGGCACGCGTCTCTACGCGTCGCCACGCGCCTTGTGCTCAACATATGACCGGACACTACTTTCGCCATGTCTGTGTGTATTGTACAGTACAGTATGTGTGTTCAGCAGGGTTTTCTCGCGGTATGGATGAGTTGCTCTGACGAAACCCTCCAGCCCGGATGGGAACCCAGCTTGTCGCAATAGATTCGGCGTCGCACGTCTCCAATTCGATCCCGATCCGATCCCTTCACCGCCGCCTCCAGCATTCATTCGGCGGAACTGAAAATAAACCCCCTAGATGTCGGTTGTGACTTTTGACTTGCACTAGCCTGTTGCTTTCCGCAATTCGTTTTCTTTTTCTAGGCTCGCTGCGAGGCAACGCACTTGGCCTATAAACCCACGCAGCTCCATCCAGGTTTCCTCTCAACATAACATTTTCAGACACAACTTGCCTCCTCTGGTTCCATTCACTACAGACAATCGATATGGCCCCTAGGCACAAACGTAAGACGGACGGCGATTCGTCTGAGCCGCTCTCCGGTTGCGTTATCACCGTCTGTGGCAAGTTTAATCGAACGCACCAGCAGATCGAGAAGGATATCAAGACGCTTGGAGGCACCTACAAGAAATCCTTCTCCAAACAAACCACGCACCTCATAGCCACCCGGGAGTCGTACAATAGGCCCTCCGACCTTGTTAAGAAGGCCAAAAAGCAGCACGACTGTAAAATCGTCGATGTGAAATGGCTGGAGAAGTGCTCTAAGTCTGGGTCGCAGGTGAACACCACGCCGTACCTTCTCGATCAGCAGGACGAGAACAAACAGGACATCTCCGACAGTCAGACCGGCGACGAGTCCAGCGACGAGTCCAGCAGCGAGTCCGGCGACGACTCTAGCGACGACTCTGGCGACGGCTCTGGCGACCAATCTGAGAACGATCTGAGAAAGAATGAGCGGCATAAGAAGGAAGAAAAGGGCCGGCCCCTTAAAAATATGTACATCTGTGTGATTGACACTCCCGAAGACCAAAACGTGGAGCAGTTGAAAAAGGGGATCCGTGCCTTGGGCGGGCAATATCAGACGACCGCCACAAAGAAGACCACCCACCTTTGTGCATCACAACAGCAATTCGATACCCTTCAGAAAGACATCTTGTATGCGCGTGACAACGGTGTTCTTGTCGTTAGCCTATCGTGGCTCAACGACACGCTCTACTTGAAGGAGCTTCAAAGCACTGGCAACTACGTCCTTCGGAGCAGCGAGAAGACGAGGTCAGAGGGCAGCCCGAGGAGAAGCACGTCCTCAAAGAATCGAGGGAGCGAAGAGGAAAGCAGTGAGGACGAGGAAGAGAGCGATGAAGAGCAGTACGAGTCTCCTACCCGTTCGAACACGCATAGAGCACAGAACAGACGCATGGCAACGCCGCCGGACTCCGAAGGTCGTCGATCCACCACGCCCGCTAAAAAGTCGGATCTATTCTGGAGCACCAATACGAAAAGGCTCCTTGCCATGCCCCTGCACCCTCCCAAGGACCAGACACAAGTTGGAAGTACTTTCATCCAGCTTGTGTCCGATCCGGACCAGAAGACGGGCTCGAAAAACAAACCACTCGACGGGGAGATCGTGACCGAAGTGTACCGGGGGCAGCTTTTGGTTGCAGCACCCGGGAAGAACCCAGAATATCCGGAATCCATGAGAGCCTTTCTCGTGCAAAGCAGTCGCTATGGGGGACACAAGGCAAGCTTTCGGCAACTCGGCAAAGTAGCCATGCCGTCGGGCACGAAGGCTGACTTTCCGGGACTGACTCTGGACAAAATGAACGTCGTTCTTGTGGCATCCGATGAAGCCGAGAGGGTGTCCCTTGTGTTGTTTCTCGTTGATGGTACGAAACATCTGCAGCTTGCTTCTCGCACAACTCTGAACGACATCTTGGGCAATAAGAAGGGAGATCAAATCGTGATCGGGAGGAGGAAATTGGCCGGACAGAATGTTCCAAAGAAGATGAAGAAAATCGAGGTTTCCACTGAAGTGTGGGACATGCTTGAGAGGAAGAACGACGGGGTGACTTCATAGGCTGGATGAGCTCCTAGGATGTCGCTGGGCGAAGTATCTGGAGTGCCATTAGAAACGTGCCGTATCGTGAGTAGTACTGTATCTCATACATTGATTCTGTAAGCCACGCAAGTCCTGATCCCGTCGAATGTCGCTAATAATGTGTATGCCTGTCCGAACACCGTGCTGCTGATGCTCGCTGCTTTTTAATGTTGTTTATGTTCCTCATCAAGAGTCCGCATTACGTTGGACTGTTTCACCATTGAAACGTCTTAGTATGCTTACATTGTTGGACAGTAATCACAGCAAGTTCGACTCTAGGCGGGCAAGTGATTTGCCTTGTTCCACCCATGGATCACACGAGCTCGGCAAATCTTGCAGAAGCGACGTCTTCTCGTTTCCACCTATTTCTCTTTCTAGAGTAATGCGATCTGTCTGTTCTTTAATTTCATATCCTTCTGCAGTCTGGGAGGCCACAAACCGTCACTAAGGATGCTCACGCGCTTTCAGTAGCCAAGTGGTCCACGCTTTTTTTCCAAGTACGTCTACTGGAGGCCAGCCTTTCAAATTCCCTTGAATGCTACATATCAAGCCGTTGTTCTTCAGCGGACATGCGAATGCATCATTTCATCTGTAAAAAGTCGCTTGTTGCTAAGTAATATTGGACTTCTTCTGTTAGTCTCGCTGGCTCAATGTTGACCTTCCAATCCAGAAGGCCCAGCAGGTTTTTTTCGATCCAGTTTACTTCGTGCTTCTGAAACCCTAATATCTGTCGATCTCTTTCGAAAATTCGACTTTCAGTAGTCCAGACTTGATTATTGAACGCGCGATCCCGTTGGCACTTGTTGGCAACCATCAGACAACTCAAGACAACGCGATGATTTGTGCACCTCCGGCCACGTCTTCCTATGCCGTTTTCGGACAGTTTATCGATAAAGAGGCCAAGATAGACCCGCGATGCCATAAGTTCCAAAGGCGTAAGTTGAAGGCGTATCACAAGCTGCGTGATGAAGGCTTCCAGCGAGGGAGGATCCAGGTCCTTCGGGCATGCAGAATCAGTCGCATCAGGGTCGGTCGCATCACTGTATGCCACAGCAGAAGAAAGGGCGGCTACGTGGGCAATCATGTTCCTGGTGACACCCTGGCTCTGAAACCGAACGAGCACGTCGGACTGCTTCATGTCGAAAGGCAAGAGGCTGGATCAGGTGCGCGATAGCGCAGAAACATGGATGGACGGCAGAGTTTCGCTTTTTATGCAGGCCGGCACCGGCCGGATCACAGCTGTCCTGACAATTCTGTCTCCAATACCTGTTTCCTCATTTAGATCCGTCTCCATGTTCGTTCTCCTTCAGAAATTCAAAATGGGCCTGTGCAATCGGGCAGTCCGAAGTTCGCCTCCATTTCCACAAGTGACAAGCTGATTCGCTCATGAGTGCCGATTTGAGCACTGCGGCTTCCTCATGTGCGGAATAGGATATATTGCGGCGAGCCGGCGTCGCCGAAGCCCTGCTAGACTGGCCTTCTGGTCTAGGTACGAATGAAGGAGGCATGATCTTTCTTTTGTACTGAGATCCCTCCCGACTTACTTTCCCATCCTCACCATGCGTGTTGACCTGGTCATCGCGGAGAGATCCGTTTTACCTACGTCATCAGAAGATGGGGGAGAAACCCAATTATGGCCACGCCCGTTGGCGTTGCCTCCACGGTGCTCCTCTCAGAAGCCTCGGGACTGTTCCGAAGCGGCGTTGGATGCAAAGATCAAGGGTCTTCGCGACGAGAACGACAGATTGAAGCAAGAGATGTACGCATTGCGCGACAAGCAGCGCAGTAATCACGGACGCCTGGAAATCCTGCGCGAACAGGGAGGTTACCAACGACAGGTGCTTCGGGAGCAAACCAGGGAGATAGCGGAGGTCATCAGCGTTGTGGAAGAGGTCTTTCTTGAGTATGAAGACTGGGTGCGAAGGTCGATGGGCTTCAGGTTATCTACACCCAGAATGGATCTTGCAAGCTGTTAGCCGCTTGTCCGCATAACTCGTTTGCCGTACGTGGTGAGCGGGGTGAGACGTGCTTCTCCTTCGGATGCGGCTTGCGTGGCACAATCAGCAGTCAGAATACTCAATCAAGGCAAACGTCATCTTCCACAGAGATTGCAAGCGGACATCGCAACGCAGTATTTAATCCACCATGAAATGGAGCCAATGCATTGTTCTGCCCAGAGACTACTTCTCGCCTGAGGGGGCCGGTCCAGCTGGTCCAGCCCATGCAGCCTGTCCAGCCTGTCCGGCATCGGCCATGCGTTGATTGGGAGAGATAGGATCAGTGCAAATTAGAAAGCCATGAATCAATGGTCAATAATCTGATTTATTCCAACGTTCCGCAGCGGCTTGAGTCTCTACGGTACTGTGGTCATCTCATGCCAGGTTGCGCAACCGCGCGGCTATAGTGTGTTCGCTCAGCGGGGAAGCCTCATGTCGGATCTGACCCAGGGTGCGCCGCTGTGCACCCACCATCGCCCGCTGAATGACGCATCTCATTGACACACCGCGACCCCATCCGTCCACTGTGACTGCCTACGTAGTCGACAATAAACTCTGACAGGTTCCCACTACAGTCCATGAGAAACTCAAAATCCAGAATCATGCCATGCTTTAATCAGGATTGCGATAATCCAGGATGAGCCTCAACAGGAGAAGAAAAACAACGGCCATATCTACGCTACTGTGCGCCTGCGACTGCGCCTTCGCTGAATTGGGCCAGCCTGCGTCCGCCCACCTTCACCATGGAAGGGATGCCCTATGAGATCATCCGCGAGTTCGTCTCGTATCTAGACTCGCGAAGCCTTCTCAATTTGGCACTGACTTCCAGTCACTTCAACCATGCCTGCTTGTCCGAGGCTTCGCGTCACCTCTGCGTACTCAACACCCTTTCGGCACTGTCGGGTCTGGCGCACCACATCAAACAAACAAGTCCGCTCACACGAGCTCTCACGGTGTATCATGGCGAGTGGCCGAAGTGCGACTACAAAGCGTGGCAGCTTCACCCGCTCCAGGTGTACGAAGCGCACCCTTTTGTGTCGCAATCTCCGTCGAAGAAGGAAAAAGCTTTACAGGCCTTCCCACGCTATCGTCACTTCGTAGCGGACGAGGGGTCTAGAAGTCGCCATGGGGACATCCGTCGACTGAACCAGATTTTGAGTTCTCTGCCACAGCTCGAGCGGATCACAATCTCCCATGCCTGTTCCCATGCGCGGAAACCGAAGAAAAACGTCCAACTCACCCGACTGTGCCAACAGATCTGGCTATCCCCGTGCCGGAGAAACGCAGTCGATCGACTCGCGAGTGATATTCTGACAGTGCTTCCTAACTACGCCCGCATCCAGGACGTGAAGATTGAAGGCACACTGAACCTTGAGTCCATCGCCCCTCTGCACGCGGCGCTGGGTTCCGTGACCAAGCTCGACATCCAATCGATGAACATGGCAAACACTACTCCTGCAATGTTCCAGTCCTTCTTTTCCTTGTTTCCCGCTTTGCAAGACCTCCAAATGAATTTTTGCCGCCACAATGGACTGACCGTCATCCCTCTCGATCACTTGGACTGTCCCAACCTTCGCTCAGTATATCTTGCCAACGTACGTGTGGCAGTCCTTGCGTTAGTGCGGTTCATGCAACGACACCCCGTCATGGAATGGCTACAACTCGACGATCCAGCGCTGGTGGACGGCCACAGTGTTTTGGGCTACCCACGCAGCTGGTTGTTCGGCATCAACTCCAGATTAACACTACGGATAACGGGCACTGACACAGCTCCCTGTGGTCCTCTCAGCTTCTAAGTGGGTATGCCGGGCACGAGTCCTGCCAGAGCGTTGGGGATAAGCATAGTGAAGAGGTCTTCCGCAAGTGGTATCCACAGTCAATTGTTAGGCAGGGGATAGGACTACATCTATAAAAATTCTGGCCCTCCGCAGCCCTTATATATGCGCTTTCGCAGTCCCTCCCCCCTAACCAGCCCCCCTGTTCGGTGGCTCCATACGTGCCTCCTGACAAGCCACATGCAGATGCACGGCAGGCCGGCGAGATGTTGGTAGAACCAAGACAACTTTCGGCTGATGATCAATCGTAAGGATATGCCCGAAGGCTAAGAGCTATGATAAAGACAGCCGAGAGTGAGGCTTGAGTAGGGAGCGTGCAGATGTGAAACTGACCGGTCGGAAAGTCTCCTGACAATATAAGATAAAGGAAGAGTGTGTGCAAACAAACGAGCTCGTACATTAAATCCAAAACAAGTACACCATTGCAAACCATCTACCGCACCCGAATCAGACTTGATGGGGCTGCTTACATGGTGCGGTTTGGAGCCTCGCCGAAACAAACAGCTTTCTGCTTCGCCCATTCCTCCGCGCCAAATTTAGACACAATGGCCTCTTCGCAAATCTCCATTGCTCTTGGACCAACTACATCACTAAGTGGTATTTCTGTAGGAGCCCAGATCGCCAAGCAAGTCATGGATCCGTCTGGCTGCCGAGTGAACCCCTGAAAGTCTTCTACCTCAAAATCCTGGCGATTACTGAGCTTGGCAGCCTTTGTGATGTTGGTTCTCTTCGGCTTCGGCTCGAACGATGATTCTCTGGCGCGTTTTTTGGGACGAGATTGGGTAGTGCCCGGCTTCGACCGTGACAACGCTGGTGGGGAAAACTTGTCACTACGGACCCTTCTCCATCGTTGCGTTATGAGGCTTCATGGGGCGTCACTTACGTGCTTTTTTTGGTTTGGAAGAAGCCGGTAGATCAGCTTGGAGAGTTGCGTCACCGAGAGTGGCTACGGTCTTGCCACTTTCGAGCAGGCCACATGGGAGCGTGGCAGGCGTCGCCACGTTGGGTGTCAGCCTGCTGGCTTTTGGACTGGTCGTCGTTTGCCCCGCTTCCTTGGCGAACAAGACCGCTTGACCGACTGGACGATGGTCATGGTCGGGGTCGTCTGAAGACTGCACGGAAGTAACTTTGACGGATCCGATGTGTGGTTGCACAACTTGCTTCTCCGTTGCGGTAGTTGTTGGGTTAGGGACTGCAGGCCTCTCGCCTGGAGAGTGCAAGTGTTCCAAAGGCTCATGGCGTGTATTCTGGTCGTTGCACAGGGTGAGTGGAAGGAGGAGCTGTGCTGAGAAGATGATGAATTGTGTAAAGTGGAAGGGAAGCCTTTGTATTTATGGACAAAATTCTGCGATGAGTAAGCCATGCTTCCCTCAGTTTGTCCCTCAGCTAGTCGTGGCCGTCACGTCACTGTTCTCATCGACTCACGAGCAAGGGAGAACGACGGCAGGCCCCTAGCGCCTCGGGTAGTGATGGTCAGAGGCACGAATATGGTGCTTCGAGTGACGTTGGAGCTGGCCTACTCTGGATGCCAAGACCAGTCTGCGAGGAGTTCCAGAGGGCCTCGTGAAGAGTCAACTGCGACCAAGCACAATGTTGGTAAACACATATCTGTGTAAGAGTCATTCACGTGCCACAGAGCTCGTGGCCCAGGTTTGAGATCTTTATTACTGAGGTATACTCTGTGAAGCACCCAACACATCCTATAATCCCAAGTTCCAACGACAACCATCGGATAAATACGAGCCTTTGAAGGATATCGGAAGCCAGCATGCAGAGCGGCCCCGACGATAGCCCATTTGCGATGGCACTGGTTTCAACTCAAAACTCGTAGTAACAGGGATCAAAGAAGAACAGAGAGCCTGGCATATCTTGAACGAGTGGTAAGGCAGATCCTCCAGCACCGTGCCCGCCATGGAAGACCAGTCAACCCGACTCCCGCATAGTTGTCGGCAGCGGTGACAGTGGACCTCGACTGCACGTCATACCTCAGCATCCTTTGAGGAGGCAAGATACGAGGGGGGGGGGGTCCCTTGCTGTGTGCGAGTTCTCTTGTTCCTCTTGTCGCATGCCTCCGACGTCGCAGTTCTGCAATTCGATGGACTTATCGGTCTGGTCCTCACCCGATTGCCCGGCCCGCCATACAAACTGCCTCTGTCGAACGATTGGCGGCATTCGCCTGCAATTCCTACGATTGCTTGATGCTCATTGATCAGCGACATGAGTATCAAACCCGTCTGACAACGCGGAATCTACCACGTCATGCTTGTCGTTGTGAACCTGTGGCAAGGTGGAGAACATGCTGGGTATGAATATCTCCGGAAGCGGGTAGATTCGAAGCTACGAGCAGTCAGTCAGGCACGACCTGTTTCGGAAGCATCTCGTCTTACGATCTCGTCCTTTGTAGGCGGAAATGACGCTTGATCCGGCTCGCTCGTAAAGACCCATGTGCGGCGATTGTATTCGATGAAGGTGTACACCTTGGCTTGACAATCTTGCGACAGATCATGCGCCCTGCGCAAGAACGTCTTGCGGCGCTTGGAAAACTTGGTGGCTGCACGCTTCCGACTTTTGCGGATCTCCTCTGGGTCGTACGGCTTCAGGGGGAGCGGAGTTATCTGCTGACGTTTCGACATGTTGTCAAAGCGAACGCGACTGCAACTTCGTAGGGCGGCTTATTCGCCGTGCAAAAACTGTTACTCCTTTCGCAGACATCCCACTTTGTATTATATCTTACACATAAATACAGAGGGCGGACCTCATTGCCTGTTGCCGGAAGTCATTTTGCGTGAGGGGAGCCAAGCGCGGGATCCCGCTTCGTGTTCGGTTTTTAAGCGCCCGCATGTTGTTCGATTTCAAATTCGGCAAACAGGTACCACAGATGGTGTCTTTTGCAATAGCGCCATTGGGACTACACCCGTATGCTCTTCTTCCCCATACCCATCCCGCCCAGCCCAGCTGCCTCAGGCTCTTCATCAGACTTCCTGTTCCCTGTCTGGCCCTTGTAACCATGCACTTCCCAAGTGTGTTCGCGCCAGCACTCAATCCCTTCGATCCAAACTTCTACCCCCGCGTTTTTGCATTCCGGGCAGGGAAAAGGCTCATCGAAGAGGCCTTGATGCAGGTGCGCCGAGTTCATATGCCTTGAAAACCCATTGCCGGCAGCGAACTGTCCCTGGCAAAGCTTGCATTCCGCCTTTCGGGGTGATCTGATGCGGCGAGATCGCCCTGAGCTGGCCGGCGACGATTTCTGAGGGCGATATGGTGCGTTGCGTTTCCCGTGGTATCTCGTAGCATGGATGATCCATTCGGACAGCCCATTGATGATGATTTCTTTCTTATCTTGCGACAAGCATTCGGGGCAGTGGAACGGTGTTGAAAATGTGTCTCTATGAATGCTTGCCACGTGTCTGTTCAGAGCATATCTGCTGCTCAGTGGTTTACAACCGAACAGACACCGATATTCAGTAGCCATGTTGACTCCTATGTGTCCTTTCTCCACTGGCAATGGCGGCTCAATCGTCGGCGGCTGCAAGAAAAGCTGCTTGTCTGCCTCTTTATCGATGCCATGACTCGTGAGTATTGTAGTCGCAGTGCTTTCGAGGTGCTCGACCTCCGAGAATCTGTTAGAGAGGAAAGCGACAAGGAGGTCAATGTATTTTGTCGTGGCCAGCATGTCGATTCCCGAACATCGTACCATGTAGCGGCTGATAATCGTCGCGGCTGCTGAACTGACAGTATAGCGTCCGGCTTTGGGACGCATCGTTCTGCTGACGAGGTGCTCTATTGAACGTCCCTGGCCTCTTAACCTGTCGGCCTCAAGAAAGTATTCCTCACGACGTTGCATAACTTGGAGTTTCGACAGTGTCGCCACAATATGGCCACGCCGAGATGCAATCCTCTGTGCGTTCTCTTTGTCAGCTGCCGTTGTACGTGGGATCTCGGCAAGTTGCTTGTCGAGCTCTTGTATATCCCTCCGCTGATTCCACTTTGCGTAATCCTCTGGATGCGGGTCTATAGGCGCGTTATCATCACGTGTGAGTAGGGACTGTCGAAGAAATTCGAAAAGAAGCTCATTGTCTCCCGCAACAGTAGAAAAGGCGATAGCAGCCAGGTTCTCTTTTGTATGAACTGGCTGATAGCTCTTTCGGAACACAGCCTCCGTATTCGAGATGATGTGACTACGTACTGCGGACGTCAAGGATCCTGAATGTGTTCAGCTTGACCTTCTTGGTGGTCATTGTAGGGCGCTGCATGTCTTACCATCCACTCGTCCAGCCGCGCCTACGCGCAAGGAGTAGGGGCGATCCATTCTTCGGCAGCCTAGCACGAGCAGAGTACGCTGCCATATTTGATGGTACTTTTGGGGCGATATCTCGAATATGGGGCGTTCCAGCATGGATTTGTCCCACGGCAGTGGGATAAGATGTTGTCCTTGCAGATTTGGTACCGACAGCATCTCGAGAGCCGAGCCATACTTTCCGCTAAATGCTTTATCCTTGAGAGCCTTGCTGATGATCAAGCTTGAGAGGTCGGTAAGAAGACAAGGCATGGATGTCACGCTAAATGAAAGTCTGGAAAAATCACAAGTCAGCAGGCTACAAGTGCCATTTCTAAAAAGAGCGGCCTGACTTGTGGTCTTGGCTATTCATCACCTTCTTGTGTTGCTGTTTGTTGTGCAACACAGTGGGCGTGGCTACTAGTCGGTGGGGAGCTTTGCAGGATGGATCCTGCACCAGATCCAGTCTGACTTGGCTATACAGAAAGCGCGTCAATGTCCCCTGACGAAAGCCTCCGATGGCCATCATCAGAACCAAAGTGGAAGGCAACGCGTTCAGATGCGGTGCAGGGTATATCGTCTGCCCGTTGCCACAATGTTGTCAAAATCAACAAGACATCTTTCTCGGTCATCTCCACCTTCTCGAACGTTTGGTCGCGTTGTAATCCCAGCGAGTCTGTCAGTCCCTCTCGGATCCACTAGCGAACTCTGACCTCAGCAAGTGTGGCATAAAGCGCTGCGGACGGCACCTCGGCGACTCACCAGACTGATTTTGGACACTGGTCCTGTGCAACGCTCTGACACCGACAGCGTCCAGTGCGCCGACTTCTTTGGATCACTTCTCCTTTTTGCCTGTAGAACGTGATCGTCGGCATGCCTTACCAAGCCCTTCCAAACTTCCAATATCGTCTTGGTGCAAGTCACAGTTCTCGCAAGCTCGTACTCTTCCGGTCCCAGACTGACCCGTTTCTCCAATGAGTTGACGACATAATCGTGAAGAAAGGCCTGGCAGTATCCTATTGATTCGGGATTTCCGTCACAGAGCCGAAGCCAGATGTCATCCGGGTTCAAGCCTAGCACATTGCGGAAAAAGCTGCAGATTGGCTCAGCATTCACTCATGGTCTTCGGAGCACTCAAGGCGAACTTACTTTTGCCACTTTTGATACGAGCTCTGCCTTTGCTTCCTTGTGACGTGAGTGACTGATGCCCTGCCGGCGATCGGCTCTGCCTGGAACTGGGCTAAGGCTTCACGGGCTTTTCGCTGTCGCTCCCGACTCATCGAGAGATGGGACAGTGGTTCGACGCGAACGGCAGTCGCCCCAGGTGCCATCGCGGGCGGGTGGGGCTCTGGAGGGAAGACAGAAGACATGGTGCGGTCGCAGTGTGCCAAAGGCAAGGGTAGGAGGGGGATTGCGCGTTCGGATGGCTCAAAGTTTGCCGGAAAATGAGCATGCAGGAGGTCCAGAAGAGCGCCTGTGAGACAGGCACAAGAAGAGAGGTCTGAGATGAATGTCTAACAGGGTGCCGGATGCCGGATGCCAGGAATGAAATGATGAACAGAGCTTGGCCGGTGGAGCAAGACAGGGAGGATGCTATTGTGAAGACAAGACGAATGGTCGGTGGCACGAGACGGGCAGTGTATTACAGTCTGTGAACGACGGGGGCGACATGCTAGTTGCGGCCTGAGGCCTGACGCCTCATGCCCTTGCCTTACACATGAAAGCCATGCTAGCTTATCACCAGGCTGGCTTGCATGGTATTCGTCAGTTGCAGTAGGGGTGGGCATGGTTCGAGTGTGCACGTCGGCGCTCTTACTGCGCTGAACGAGACGTTTCGACCTGTAAGGCGGCGAGCTTGAGCCGCACCGTGCACCCTTCCGCCACGTCGCCTACAAAATGCATGGCGCCCTGACAGTGCGGCTACTCCTTTGGACACTGCTGATCAAGGTGGTGTCCAATGACGGGCCATCAAGATAGACGTCACAAAGCCAGGTACGTGGCCGCTTTAAAGCACGTGAAGCCCACTCGCAGATCCGCCGGATCCTCTAGGCGCGAGTTCGCATGCGAAAGTTCGATTGAGACCACCTAAATGCGCGCTACGCTCCTGTCACGATGTCGCGTCCGGCATATCACAAGAGGCATGTCCTACTGAACCAAGCATTGGTTGGCCGTATGAACGACAGCGCACCTTCGACCTCGAAGCCGAGCAGGATGACTCTTCACAACGAACGGGCGATCGTAGCCAACCAAATGCGAGACTTTCGGTCGCCTTATCATCACGCAGTCTAAGAAAAGGCGGATCTCCTTGAATGTCATGACGGAAGCGACTGGCATGCGGAGTTAACCCTGTATACCATGATCTTGATTCCACCGAGAACGAGAGGCTGGCCGTGCGGGTCCACGCTCCCATTGGACCCTGACTGTATGGCTCAAGGTCATGCTCCTGCCTCCGTCGCAAAATCGCACCCCAGTTCATCAGCGTGGGTGAGAGCTTCAAGAGCCACTTCTACTCCTTGACCCGCGGTTTGGTGATGAAACACTCAATGAGTCACTCGTGATTAGCCTGGCTCCGGATATTCTTGGAGCCCGTAGCCCAGTTCCTCTTGGGTCGTGCACAGGTGCGTCACAACTCGGGGATCGTTCTCGTCATGTTGGACTCCTCCTCGTCGTTCAGTTATCTGCTAGCGGACCTCAGCAATGCTGCTCGCTGTAGTGGGCTGAAGATATGTGTGAGAGACTAGAATAACATCTGCGCTCAAGGCAAGTGGCGCATGGTTGGATTCATTCATCCTGGCGGCAGGACTCCAGTAGTCAACCCAGATAAACAACATTGAGTTCTTGCTGACTAGTACGAAAAGCGTCCGCCCAAATTTTCCGTAGATGGCAGTGACTAGAGAATAGCCCAGTGGTGTGGGAGGTCAGTTTCTTACAGTATTTACCATTGAGACTCTTGCCTAAGTGAAGTGAGACACGACCACTATGCATTAACAGTATATTTGAGGTTTTACTGAGTTGTCGTGCCCATTGCATACGTCGGAGATGAAGGCGTTTTACTGTTTCTGTTCCCCCTCCTTATGCACAAGACATTGCAAATTTCTTGCTACGAAAGGATTGATGATCGCTCTGATCCTAGATGTTTTGCATATAACAACCTCTCATGAGGTGACAAAGCACATTGTGATTTGTCAGGGTGGGGTGGGTTACACATCATTTGATATGGAGACGGTGTTTAAACGGTGGTGTTTGATGCTGAAACGGTATGGCTACGGTTCCTACATGGCCCTTCTAAGCCAGTATGCAAGATATGGTATGTATGCATAATACCGTACATGCAATATGCTTCGTTCCCCACCTACTTGTGCAAAAAATCGAAAGCACCACCATTGTTAGACATCTTCAACTTCGCAAAACACGGTAATCATATTGTTGGACTGAAAGGTACGTTCTTCCAGCACAGCGAGCGCTTGATAAACTTCTTAACCCTTAATGGAACTGTAACTGGATTCTTTAGTGCGCATTGCCAGTGGCCTAAGCTGGCGACTCAAAGCCTGCCCTCGAAAGCCTGGCTTTGCTGCAGTTTTATTAGTCAGCCCTCGCGGCTTGGCCTACACGAATGAACGCACACTTCTAGGCTTATCACGTGACCTTTCCCATCCTAGGCCGACTCGACCATCGTCGGAGCAGATCTCAGCCGTTCAGTGTCACTTTATGGAGCGGACAGATGAGCCCTCATCTGCTTATTTCAAACATTCTTCCTTATCAGCAGCCATAGCAACCTTGAAAATCTGACCCGGTGAATGACTTTATCTCTTTTTATCATGGCAGCACAAGATTTTGATATGTGAAAGATCACGTGATTCTCTATCCTTTTCTTCACCATGCAAAATAAGGTGGTCAAAAGCGTGACTTCAATGGCTAGTTTGGGGTCGAGGCGAATTCCTAAATTGAACGGGGGGTTTATTGACGAGGCGGGGGTTCAAAAAGTCTCAAGGATATTGAGCATGGCATTCAAAGCGGCGGGCTCCCCCCATTGCCGCTGGGATTTTCGCACACGATCATTGGATGTCATCAGTATCAGCCGTGCCGAAAGTCAAAACACACACTGTACCCGGCCGCAGGTTCATGACCCTTCTACCATGCTTGGAAGAAAAGTTTGCCATATTTGGAGGACATTTCTCCGAACCATGATCCATATAAGGGCCGGATCAGTAGTTGGGTGGGTGACCACCAGCGAATCCCCGGTGTTGTATGTTTTGGCTCTCCAAGGTTTTGATGCACTCTGTAGTGGATATTTTGGCTTACATGGTTGGCGACGACAGCACGAGAAGTCTATCCGTCGCAACTCATCACGGCCGGCTGGAGGAGGCAATGCAAACTTTCTTTACTATTTGTGTCCGTAGGTTGCCCATCTCAACTCTTTAGACTACAATATCGACGGTGAAGTTGTGGCATATTGTAAGGGTTCATCGTCGAGCGTCTTGCTAAGACGGAGTCCTAAATGCACTATCACCAGATAAAGAGTAGAATAAAGAAGAGTCTAGCCAACCTTATTTTAAATGAAGTAAATCATATCGAGTACGAACTTCGTGGTAGTCTAGCCGAGAAGTCGTACCCTGAGCTGTACGTCATAGTCGGATATTTCCTGTAATATATGTAAGAGTCTACATGAGTCGAGGTCGCTAGCATCTCGGTCCAGTTTTGTGTTCCGTATTACACTCGGTGGTTAAGATTGCGTGTCATCACATAAATATTCATCTAGCTGCTGCAAAATTGGATTTTGAATGCTTCTCTTGTAAAGGTTTCCAAGCACATGTCCAGTGCGCAACCACCAACCTGGGAATGGACCTGTTGCTCGATAGCTCGTGAACACGTGCTGGCCCGAGATACGCCTCCGACGCAGATCATTGTAGTGCTCACCGGGCATTCACTGTTAGCGACGGTGATATGGGGAGTGCACAGTCAGGGGGGGATATGAGGCCTGACCCCATTATGGAAGCCCTGGTGAGCCCTGGATTAAGACATCAAAATCTCGATAAATGCTGATATTGTAGTGGACTGCAGGAGTATTTCTGATTAAGTTGAGTAATTTACGTGATACCTCACTTGAAGTCCATGCATGGCGACTGACACTATCTATGAGCTATATAAACCACCTTTGGCGCCCGCCCACATCTCTTAGGCGTTATTTGCTTACATTGGTCAGTGGCTGGATCTACGGCGGCCAAACCGAAGCACGCATTTCATCTTTCATCGCATTGACCTGCCGCCAGGTCAAATTCCCTGGTCGGGGCATAAGTGCTGTTGAAAATCTCCTTTCGACCGATTCTTCCGCACCCAATCGCAAAGGAGCCGTCTAAATACTCGAGCATCCTAGCGCAGGCACCAAGGAGGAAGCTTCTGGTATACATCCTGGATGTCTCGTGGTGACTGGTTTCCACGCCCTCCTACAACGCCGCACATTACGGCGAAAGCGGCGTTGAGCCTCATTGCCTGGAGGAACCCTCCCGGAGCATTGAGAACTTCAAGAGCGCGGCATCGTTCCTCTGGACGATGGATCGTGGCGTGAGCATTGACTCAGATCGCATCGGACTCGTACTTGTTTGCGCGTTTGAGTATTAAGGCATCTGCTACAATGACTGAGGTTCGCATCTGTGCTGTTTTTCTGTGGCCATATTACACGTGCCAGCACTGCCAAAGAACACTCAGCAACAGCTAATTTATGCCACGGAAGATCACATTGCAGAAGCAAAAGGCCTGCAGCCTGAAGTGCTGAAAATCTTCGAAAGTTTCGGGTAAGAGGCAAAGAAACATCATGAAATACCAGGTCGGTGCAAGCACCCATACTCGACGAAATAATGCGTTCGGCGCGGTGCGGAGCTCATGGCGGTCTATGCCTCTTTCACTTCGATGGATTGGATCATACCCCAGCCCTTACTTTTGATCATCAGTGACCAAGCAGTAAAGACAGGTATGAGCTGGCAAACTACGAACCAAGCTGCAGAGCCGAAAGAGATGTACGCGATGAACGGGAAAGGCCATATCAGCTTGTACGATGATGTATCTGTGACTGTTCCCAAATTGGTTGATTCTTGGTCGACCTCACTTTCTACCTGACTTTGACGTGAGAAGTGGTGTGTTCTGGATTGAAGCTAACGTACTGCACTTTTGTGTATTGTAGATCTTGAAATAAGAATTCGAAAATTTACTCCAACTTGCTTGAATTATTCGCCGCATCCCATATTTCACGCAGCCAGCCTGCAGTCTTTGCAGCAACTGCTCGACTGTTCTTTTGCGTCGTACAGAAAGCGTGAGGAAGGCCGGTTTGGTCAATCTCGACATGCGCACATCCGTTGTCAACGTGCTTGGTACGGGATGCGATGAAGTGATCCCTGAACCGGTTCGAGACCCAATGGTCATTTTCGCCGAAAAAGAAGAAGAAACGGGGGCTTGGGTTTGAAGACCGGTTTGCCGCTGGAAGATCCCATAACGCATCATCCCATTTGTCTTCGGCGATGACGCGCATCTCATCTTGGCCCATGTGAAGCGCCTGCCAAACGCCATCGCGACTCTTGAGGAAGTCGACAGTGGTTTTCGTCGCGGCTGGTGACTGTCCGAGGATGAACGATACGAAGAGTTGTAGCACCCAAGCGGGCCAGAAGAAGAGGATGGCCTTCGCGACAATGTGAGCTATGCCGCCCACGGCCGGGTACGATGCGAGGAGGGCCAGCCGACGGCCGCTCGGCGACTGCGCAATGTGCGTGACGGTTGGAAAAAGTAGGATACCAGCATGGAGATTGAGGTGCGGTGCAGCCGAAGGGTCCTTTTGATGGCGATGGAAGATTTCAAGAGCTATGTATGCACCGACGGAGTGTCCAGCGATGACGACAAGGTCATATGGCTGACCCACTGTTCCGGGGGTATCACGAGACGTGTTCGTCCGGCGGAGAGACGCCACGTGTCTGAAGATGGTTTCTATCTGAACCTCAAGATCATATGGTGGGCTGTCGCGTGTGAATGGTCTGTGGCTGTCATCACGGAAACCAGCAAGATCGCGCCCATGGACGTGGATGTGGCCCTCGGCGAAAGCGGCCCTTGATTTGAGGTCGTGCAAGTAGTCCGTGTAGTAGTCGACATAGCCAGGATTGCCTGGGATGAAGTACAAGAGTATGTGGGGTGACATGATGCCAAACTCGACAATGCTGACGTCCGTCGGATGAAGCTCGCGGGGTGTTTGTTGATGGACGGCGGGGCTGAGAGGTGCAAATAACCTTTCGGCTCGTCGGAGGCTGCTCGAGGCGGAGGCTCAAATTTGCGGCTGGGGCCAGTGGGGGGCCCATCGTCAGCCTGCTAGAATCCCCACCCAACAGCAATGAAGAAAAGTTGCTCACACTGACGAGGATCTGTATTCAGTTTTACTGTCATTCTGATGGTGAGTATACGATCCACTGGAACGCTGAAAGAATCGGCTATTTTTTTGTTGACGCGACAGTCTCATGCATACATTGACCCTCCAAGTTATAT